GGAGCGGCCGCAGTGCGTGGAGTGCGGCAAAATGTTCAGCTCCAAGAAGACTTACAGATATCACCTCAAGTAAATATTACATTATCTACACTTATTTTTTAATTTAGATTTTAATATATGTATCAAAGTAACTCAAAAACTAAGCCGATTACAAAAAATTCTTAAATCATTAAAAAGCTATGTTGTCAATAAGTAACATAAGTATTTCTTTAAAAATTATTTTTAATTCTTCGCGGACAAAATCGCGACCAACAATTAGTACAGTATCACATTATACTATTTATGCTAAAGGCAATGATATATTGTTGCATTAAATTTTCGATAGATGGCGTTGTTTCATATTTTCAAAAGACAATTGTTAATATTTATAATGTATATGTAGCGCTTGTGTTATGCCCTGCCCACCCCGTGTGGCTGTTCCAGCGTGTTGCACAGGGGAGAGAACCGGTACCCGTGTCCGCGCTGCGGGAAGGTGTACCAGTGGAAGTCCAACCTCGGCAGGCATATGAGAAGTCACAAGGTAGGAAACATTAGTAATGTAATACTTATCTATATTTATGTAAAGAAAACTGTTTTTCTTTGAATTTTTGTCTTTGGAAACTTTACCGCCACGTTTAGTAGATGGCGTTATGCTACCAAGTTGTACCGCCTCATTCAACAGATGGCGTTGTACCATCAAGTTCAGCCAGGAAGATCAGCGCTGGGTACTTCAGCTAGAAGTATCCAGCATTTAAAGCTGAGCAAAGACCTAATTCAGTCAGCATTGCAACTCTTTTTCTGTATCTTATTTTTCTTTTTTTAGTTAATTCATAATTGCATTATTGTCTTGGTAAAGATTAAGCGTTATTTAAAAAAAATAAGTTGTACCGCCTCATTCAACAGATGGCGTTATACCAAAAGTTGTACTGCCTCATTCAACAGATGGCGTTATAAAAAGTTGTACCGCCACATTCAACAGATGGCGTTATACCAAAAGTTTCCTCGCCATGTTCAATAGATGGCGTTGTAACATGTTTCAGGCCCGCGACTCCGGCGAGCTGCACTGCTCCCCGTGCGGGAAACTGTTCGCCTCAGTGGCCACTTACAGGCAGCACCTCGCCGTCTCGCGCAGACACGTGCCGGAGAACGAGTTCAGGTGACACCAGTGTAACACTACTAGCTGTTGCTCGCGACTTTCTACGTAAACTTCAAAAATGTAGCCTATGTTACTCAGGGATAATGTAGCTTTTTAATGGTGAAAGAATTTTTGAAATCGCTTCAATATTTTGAGTTATTTAAATTATTTTATTATTTGCATTTGTCAAATTATCAATTACAAATGTCAAAATGACATGATATCACAAACCTTGACAATCTTACTTCCTTGATGTTGGCAGTGACTTATGGTCTCTTTCCCACATTAGGGCTTTTATCCAAAATATTTACCTCCTTAGTTTAATGGCGTGAAAACATAGCCTAAAGCATGACGTAAGTGTAGAGCTTTTTATTAAAAAAGAATTATTCAAAAATATGGTGTAATTACTGACATCTTGACAACAAAGAAGTGTGTTTACGCTTTATTATAATAGTATAAATAAAAGGTATAAACTACTGTACGTATTTTCATAAAATTTGGTACATAGCTTATCGAATTCCTGTGTATTATGCGGAAAGTCGAAGGTAAAGACTAGTATTATTAATTTTTATATGTACAAAATCAACAGTTTCACTTGTGACGAGTGCGGTAAGAAGTTTGTGAGTAAAACGCGGCTGAGAGATCACATCGACTGGGAACATCTTCACAATATCAAGTTCAGATGCCATCTCTGTAATAAGGTGATAACACTATGACACACTATGACACACTATGACACACTATGACACACTATGACACACTATGACACACTATGACACACTATGACACACTATGACATACTATGACACACTGTATAATAATTATTTTTTTTATACTAGCAGTTGCGTGACTTCGCCAGCGTGAAATTAAAAAAAGCGTAAAACTACGGTGAAAGAATTTTTTAAATCGACAAAGTAGTTTTTGAGTTATTTCAATACATACAAAAATAAAAATCTTTATAATATTATTATAGTTAAAAGCCAGACGGAGACAGAATAACTTTAAAAAGATAATAATTTTGTGTCAAGCGAAAAAGCAGCTCGATAAAATTGTTAGTAAGTTTCTTAAATTATAACATACTATCTTGGGCCTAATTTTCCCTTTCCCTTTTTTTATAACGTAACATGGCAAACGAGCAAGCGGCCACCTGATTTCGCCAAAATGGCGAAGCGACTGCCCATAGTCATCTGCAATTGCAGATGCGTCGCCTACCCTTAT